TAATTAACAAAATCAGGGATGAAAAAGGGGACATAACAACAGACTCTGAGGAAATCAAGAGAATCATCAGGGCATACTTCTGTACTCCACAAAATTTGAAAATTTAAAGGAAATGGACAATTTCCTGGATAGATATCACTTGCCAAAACTAAATCAAGAACAGATAAACAATCTAAACAGACCTATAACCCCTAATGAAATAGAAGCAGTCATCAAAAGTCTCCCAAACAAAAAAAGCCCATGCCCAGATGGCTTCAGTGCAGAATTCTACCAGAAATTCAAAGAAGAGCTAATTCCAATACTCCTCAAAGTATTCCACACAATAGAAGGAGGACGCTCACTGCCAAACTCTTTCTACGAGGCTACAATTACCTTGATACCCAAGCCACACAAAGACACAACTAAGAAAGAGAACTATAGACCAATTTCCCTCATGAACATTGATGCAAAAATACTCAATAAAATACTCGCAAACCGGATTCAAGAACACATCAGAAAAATCATCCACCATGATCAAGTAGGCTTCATTCCAGGAATGCAGCGATGGTTCAACATTAGAAAATCTATCAATGTAATCCATCATATTAACAATCTGCGAAAGAATAACCACATGATCATCTCACTAGATGCTGAAAAAGCCTTTGACAAAATCCAGCACCCCTTCATGATAAAGGTCCTAGAGAGATCAGGAATAACAGGAATGTACCTGAATATAATAAAAGCAATATACAGTAAACCAACAGCTAACATCAAACTAAATGGAGAGAAACTCAAAGCAATTCCTCTAAAATCAGCAACAAGACAAGGCTGTCCACTCTCTCCATATCTCTTCAATATTGTACTTGAAGTTCTAGCTATAGCAATAAGACAACAAAAGGAGATAAAGGGGATACAAATAGGAAAAGAAGAAGTCAAACTTTCACTATTTGCAGATGATATGATAGTTTACTTAAGTGCCCCAAAATACTCCGCAAGGTTACTCCTAGAGCTGATAAACACCTTCAGCAATGTGGCAGGATACAAGGTAAACTCAAAAAAATCAGTGGCCCTATTATATACAGATGATGAAGTGACTGAGAAAGAAATCAGAGAAACATCACCTTTTACAATAGCCAAAAACAGCATCAAATATCTGGGGATAATGTTAACCAAGGAAGTGAAAGGCCTGTATATCAAGAACTTTGGGTCTTTAAAGAAAGAAATCAAAGAATATACCAGAAAATGGAAAGATCTCCCATGCTCTTGGATTGGTAGGATCAACATAATAAAAATGGCAATCTTGCCAAAAGCAGTCTATAGATTGAATGCAATCCCTATCAAAATTCCATCACAATTCTTCAAGGACCTGGAAAGAACATTAATCAACTTTATATGGAAAAACAAAAGGCCCAGGATAGCCAAAACATCCCTATACAATAAAGGAACTTCAGGAGGCATCACCATACCTGGCTTCAAGCTCTATTATAGAGCTATAGTCCTGAAAACAGCTTGGTGTTGGCACAAAAATACGCAGGTAGACCAATGGAACCGAATCGAAAGTCCTAATTGTAACCCACACACCTATGAGCACTTGATTTTTGACAAAGAAGCTAAAACTGTACAATGGAAAAAAGAAAGCATCTTCAACAAATGGTGCTGGCATAACTGGGTACTGGTATGCAGAAGACTGCAGATAGATCCATGTTTATCGTCTTGTACAAAACTTAAGTCCAAATGGATCAAAGATCTCCACATAAATCCAGCCACACTGAAACTTTTAGAAGAGAAAGTGGGAGATACTCTTCAATGAGTTGGTACAGGAGACCACTTCCTAAACATAACACCAGTGGCACAGGCACTGAGATCGACAATTAACAAATGGGACCTTCTGAAACTAAAAAGCTTCTGTAAGGCAAAGGACACAGTCAAAAAGACAAAAAGGCAGGCCACAGAATGGGAAAAGATATTCACTAACCCTACATCTGACAGAGGGCTAATCTCCAAAATTTACAAAGAACTCAAGAAACAAGTCTCCAAAACACCAAAGGATCCTCTTGAAAGGTGGGGTACAGCGCTAAATAGAGAATTCTCAGTAGAGGAGGCTAAAATGGCTAAGAGACACTTAAGAAAGTGCTCAACATCCTTAGCCATCAGGGAAATGCAAATCAAAACAACTCTGAGATACCATCTTACTCCTGTCAGAATGGCTAGAATCAAAAACACCGAAGACAATTTATGCTGGAGAGGATGTGGAGAGAGCAGAAAACTCCTCCACTGCTGGTGGGAGTGCCGACTCATACAGCCTTTTTGGAAATCAGTATGGAGATTCCTCAGGAAAATGGGAATTAATCTACCACTAGACCCAGCAATTCCACTCTTAGGCATTTATCCAAATGAGGCAGGTTCATACAACAAGGGCATCTGCTCCACTATGTTCATAGCAGCATTGTTTGTAATAGCCAGAACCTGGAATGCCCCTCAACTGAAGAGTGAATAGAGAAAATGTGGTACATTTACACAATGGAGTATTACTCAGCAGAAAAAAACAATGGAATCTTGAAATTCACAGGGAAATGGATAGCACTGGGAGAAACCATCCTGAATGAGGTAACCCAGTCGCAAAAAGACAAACATGGTATGTACTCACTCATATATGGATTTTAGACATGGATCAGGAAAGTGCCAGTCTACATTTCCACAGACAGAGAGTCTGGGAAACAGGAAAGAACCTAAAAATATGCATATATGCATAGTACCCAAGAGAAGAGGATGGAGACAAGATCCTCTGAATGGATGGGGAACACGGCGAGGGGTGGGGGCAGTGCGACCTGGGAAGAAGAGAGGGGGTGAAGAGGAAGAGAGTTGGTCATGGGGGAACAGGAAGTTGAGGGGGTGGGGGTAGAATAGGAGGAAGAGGGAATCATAGGATCGAATACAGATCAGGCACCAGAGTGACCTCGAGTGATCTAAAGGGATAACACCAATTGGCAAGCTAAGCAATAGTGGAGGGACCACCTCGAGTGCCCATCCCTGATAATGAACTTGATGTCTATAACCATCCGGAAGCCTTCATCCTGTGACTGATGGAAGCAGAGGCAAACACACAATTATCACTGAACTGAACCCAAGGAACCCAGTGACAGAGAGAGAGGAGTGATGAGCAAATTGGCAAAGATTGGGCTGGCAAAACCAGCAGAGACAGCTGATCTAAACAGGGGAGAGCTCTTGGACCCCAGATGACAGTGGGGAGGCCAGCATGGGACTGATCTGGACCCCCCCAAATGTGAGTGTCAGTGAGAAGGCCTGGGCAACCTATGGGGCCCTGAGCTGTGGATCAGTGTCTATCCCTGGTATACAAACTGTCTTCGTGTGCCTATAGCACAAAGAGAGATGCTCTCTCAGCCTGGACTCTTAGGGGAGTGCCTGGACCCTACCAAGAGTAAAATGACAGACTCTGGATATCCCCTATGGTGAAGGATTTGGCAATAGGGTGGGAGGGAGGGGGGGAAGGGGAGTGCGGGAGGAGGGGAGGGAGAGGGAACTGGGATTGGCACGTAAAACAAGCTATTTAAAATTAAAAAAAATTACCAGTGAATTAATTTTGTTTTGGCCATCTGCTGTTGGGTATAAGTCATAACTTTAAGTGTGTGATTAATATACCCAGCTAGACTATTGGAGAGAACTAATTTTTTCTTTTTAAGCTGATGTCAGTTGGAGATGTTGTCTTGGTAATGGCTGAAACTTTCTGTCCATTGTCCCTCCTCAGCCCTGAGTTCCATCTGATTTCAAACTGTGCAATGTCTGTATGTGCTGCCAAAGTCTTTGTGAGTTCAAATGTTCATCAGTTTTGTTGTATCTGGAAGACTCTGTTTCCTTGAAGTCATGCATGCCCTCTGGTTATTAGAATATTTCTGCCTCCTCCTCCATATAGATCCCTGAGTCCTGAAGGAAGAGGTCTGATAAAGACATATTATTTGGGACTGAATCTTCCAAGACTTCCTTTCTCTGTATGTTGTCCAGTTGTGGGTCTCTGTGTTAGTTCCCACCTATTGCAGGAGGAAGCATTTCTTATGATGGATGAGTGAGGCACAGGTCTATGGGTATATCAGAATGTCATTGGGAGTCATTTAATTGTTATATTCCTTTAGCAGAACAATAGTAGTTGATTTTCCCCTAGGTCTATGGACATACTAGGCTTTTTGTTTATTTGGTAAACTATGGCTTCTGAGAGCAACATTATCTACTTGCTAAACTCGTTACTTTTATGTTTGTTTCCAACACTGACCATTTCTCCTGCTTTCAGCCTTCCTTCATTGTGATTCTTTGTGTAGGGTTCAGTCTTCTTGGCCTTTCTTGTGTTCCCATTAGTATGTCTATTGCTTTGGACATTATTAGGAGACACAATCTCAGAGCAAACTCCCTGATACTTTGGCTCTTAAAATCTTTCTGCCAGTTCTTCATTATGTAGATTGAGCACTTTGTATTTATGTTTATGATATGCATCTTGGTTAATCCTATTTCTTAGCTACTGTGAATAGAGCAGCAACTAACACAAATGTACAACCATCTCTGTTGTAGGTTAGAGTCTTTTGAGTAAATTCCCAAGAGGGTTATAACTGGGTCATGTTTTTAGTTCTAAAAATATGTTCTATGTTTCAGAACTAAAAATGTGTTCTATGTTTAGTTTCTTTTAAAAACCCTATTTCCACAGTGGCTGTATTAGTTTGCCCTTCCACCAAGGTGAATAAGGGTTCTCCTTTCTCTGAATTCTCATCAGTATTTGTTGTCATTTGTTTGATCTCACTGAAGTTGAGAGTAAAGGCCACTGTAAGCTAGAAAGGGTAAGAAAGAAGAGGAGCAACATGAGCTGGGGTAACAAATCTGAAAATATGGTTTGATGTGAGAAATACATCCTAAATAGACTAAGGTGACAATTGTTTGTAACTTATTTTAGATACTGTACAAATTGGAATGGAACTCAATGGTTATAAGCACAAAGATGGTAAATTTTTAATCCTTATCATTCTGATGTGTTCATACACATTTTCAACATGTGTTGTTTAGTAACATGCATTGTTCCTATTGCATTGTACAAAAATCATTCATGTGTTAATTCTGATGCAGAGTATAATAGAAATTGTCAATTGCAATCACTTAGGGATGAGAAATCCATATGAAGTATCACTAGATTACTGTCTAAATATGGAAAATCACTGAACTTCTTTAACCAGTATTTAACCTTATTTGACACAGGAGTGTCTTAATAACCTTCTTGACCTCCTCATTTCTAAGGGTATAGATTAAAGGGTTCAACAGAGGTGTCACAAGGGTATAAAACACACTCACAATTTTGTCTATGGGGAAGGAGGTCATTGGTCTTACATACAAGTATGAGCAAGGTACAAAGAATAAGACAACAACAGTGACATGAGAGATACAGGTAGACAAGGCCTTCTGACGTCCTTCTGAACTGTGGTTCCTCAAGGAGTAAAGGATAACTACATAGGAAACAATAAGCATAGAGAAAATGAGTAAGCACATTGACCCACTGTTGGCAGCAATCAGGGGCCCTAGAGTATGAGTGTCAGTGCAGGCCAACTCCAGGAGTGGTATTAAATCACATATAAAGTGATTAATGGTATTGGGGCCACAGAAGGGTAATTGGGCTATAAATGTAGTCTGTATCATTCCATGAACTAATCCAACAATTCCAGCTGTTACCACCAAAGAAATACACATAGGTTGGTTCATGATGGTCATGTAGTGCAAGGGCTTGCAGATGGCTACATAGCGATCATAGGCCATGGAAATCAGCAAGATGACTTCAGCTCCTGCAAAAAAATGCTCAGCAAAAAGCTGAGTCATGCAGCCATTGAAGGATATACTACTCTTCTCAGATATCAAGTCATAGATCATTTTGGGTGCTATGGAAGAAGAGTACAAACCATCTGTGATGGACAAATAGGAGAGAAAAAAGTACATGGGCTTAGCCAGGACTGGGCTGATGAAGATGGTGACTGAGATGAGTATGTTACCTGCCAGTGTGATCAAATAGATTACTAAGCACACAATGAATAAGAGTTTCCGCAGATCTGGGTCTTGAGTCAAGCCCAGGAGGATGAATTCTGTGACATTGTTCATCATTTTCATCAGTTTAGTTCAGGCTGTGAGCATAGTTCATCTGAAAAGAAACCATAGTGTGTCTCAGTGATGGTATTTAAAATGAAACCCTGAAATGCTCCATCATCTTATTGCTTCTGGTCCCCGAGTTCTATGTAGCTGCACTTCTGCTCACATCTGCTGATATTATAACCTCCCATGAAGTTATAAAGAACAAAAGCAGGTTGCATTATTCCTAATGATTTTTCGTGGAATAGTGATAAGACCTTAGAAATACTACAAGAAACCTAACTGTCATTATAATTGATGACAAGGTTGATTTTCAAATTTTCTTCTAAAAAGTCCCTTAAATGTCTTATTTCATGTGTTTTTGGAGGGCAGATATCATAAAAATCAATTATTTTGAATTTTTGTTAGTCTATTTAAATAGATTTTTGATAAAAACACAGTATTTAATGAACAACAACTGGGCATTACACACTAAAAAGACAAGTGTTGCTGAACTTAAAGCTCTCACACTCTTTAACCTACAATTCTTCTCTTTTATATGAATGCATCTGCTCCTAGAAATAGTTATGTTGCTCTGGAGGGAGGTATCTTCTCTCTGGATGTCAACAAACTATATGAGTTATAGCTCATTGAATATACTGCATTCCAGAATCTCAGATTTTATTCCTGATTCTCTGTGGTAGTTTCTTTTCTTCATATCTGGATATTTATATGTATGTGAAACAAAATCTCCCTAAAGAAGCACCACAGTATTTCATCAATAAATTTTTCTTGTGGTTTCACTTTGATCAAATATAAGGTCATTTTCAGAATAGGTAAATTTATCCCCCTTAATCACATTTTACAACTAGAATTAAACTAGATATGAGGTCACTTTGAATTTATTATTGCTAATACACAAATGACAGGACTAGCTAAGTCACCATAATTTTTCTTTTAACAGTAAATTCACCCAAAATAAGATGAACTTCTAGTTTTCATTGCCAAGTTGAAGAAATATTGAGATTAGTGTAATATATTATTTTAAGTGAACTAGATGCAGGATTTCAAGTATCAATTAGTGTTGTTACTAATGAGTTGAGGTATTTTATACTTCTTTATCTTTTTCCCTAAGACCTACCCAAAATCATAACCAAAATCCCCCAAGCCTATCCCAGCTTCAAAAAATAAAATTCTGGATACATAATGTTTTAGCCCTAGAAGAGTGAGGAGAAGATGAAATGAGAAGAAACATATTTAATTTGGCTTAGTCCCAAAGTGTCTCCACTCTGTTCATGACGTCTATAGATAGTGGCAGTACAGTTAATCATTATCAGTACATTTAATTCACAAATCCTAATTTCAAAGTGACAGTGCAGAAATCATGGGAAGGGAAAAACTTCAAGTCATTGCAAACAACCAGCTAGAATCAATGCATTTAGCAATATGTAGACATTAACCACAACATCTTAGAAGTGATTTCAATCATTCTCAGCATCTCCTAGTTAAGTAAAAAATTACCTATATTATTTTTATGCTCTTGTGCCTAAATTTATTTTCACAACAAAATATAAAACTTCAAGTCCAACATAAACTGTAAAGTCTACTTCAGTGAGAACAAAGTGACTAAATCAAGTTAATCTGCTTGAATTTTGGGGAAAAAGATTCAGCTTTCACTTACTAGGTTATAGTTGGTTGGGGAGTCTCCTGTTTGTTGATTGATTGCAGTCATTGTTTCTTTCCCTCTAGGCACACCCAGGACAGTGTTCAGTAGACTCTAAATCAACACTGGAATTATTATTTTCCTAGACAATACTTTGAGACATTGTGATTTATTTATATTTTAGCCCTATTGTCAGCATTTACTTCAAAAAATTAACTATTTCAGTTAGGAACTTTTATGTTCCTGGGATTGAAAATGCACCTTCTTGGTTTCCTGTGACTGGTGGTATGAAAACACACACACACACACACACACACACACACACACACACACACCACTTTAATAGATTATATTCTTTCCAGATAACAATACTGACAATAAAGCACAATTATTTAAATCAGAAAACATTAGTCCATTCAACTTTAACATGTATAAGTCAGTAAAATCAAATTGGTTAGACTTTCCCCTTTGGGGCATGTTTTTTGCTTCCTAAGAGTCTATGAACAATGTGAAGAGAGAATTCCTATCATTTCTCAACTCTGGCTCCTCTTTAACTTCATCTCCTTTGAAACATACCAATATGGAGAGCAATTCCTCTTAAATCATCATCTTATTGACTTATATTCTGCTTCAGTCATCAACACAATGACCCTTTACTTAAATTCTTCCTTCCTTGAAGCTAAAGCAATACTTAAGTAGATTTGCACAATCTGGAGGGGCTGGTGATGTTTTGGCGTAGCAAGGACCCAGAGGATCGGTAATTGGCTCTTTTGAAATCTTTGCCAAGACCTTTTGCTTACTCCCACATACAGACATCATTAAGGAGTGTTCAGAAATGCATTTGGGTTGTGAACTGAGTTCAGATTCTTGTATTCTGGCAAGTATTCTAACAATGAACTTCATATAGTCCCTCTTTGTGTATGCTCTGTTTCACTTAGAGTAATGACTTTAATTCATTTATGTTGGATCATGTATTTAAATTTGATTCTTTTTTGAAACTAAAGCAGGTCACCATGAAAAAAAAAATCCCTGAACCAGGTCAGGTGGCTGCACTTATTAATTCTCCCAACATCTTACAGAACTATAATAGCAATTGTACTTCTTAAACTTTTCCACAAAATTGAGAAGAATACTTCAAAACTAATTTTATATGGCCAACATTTAATATGATACCTTAATTAAATAACCCCTCCCAATAAACACCAAACTTGGACTCCTGGATAAGATGACAGACTAAAGGTAACTCCTCAATGTGAGTCAATGAAAGAGAGTCAAAAACAAGGAAATAATAAGTATGAAACTGAAGAATTTTGGAAGTCAGTGAAAAAAGTGACATAATAACAAAGCAAAGCAGAATGAAATGAAACAAACCCACATGATTATGGAAAACTTGCCATGAGGGACAAGCGGAGGAATTTTGCTGTCAGTCCAGCTCAGCCATCTTGAGCCAAGAATAGAACCTGGAGCCAGCTCCTCAAGAGGCCAAAGAGGAAATTGCTCAGGATTCAGGCAATCCAATCCAGAGATTAAAAAGCCCTCAGTGGATCTTGGGAAAGAGCTGAATGAGGGATGTGTGGAGTTGGAGTAGAGAGGTTCCTAATACCTACAATCTCTTTTCTCTCACAGTCCAGAAGAGACAGTTATGGGATGTAGGCATCCAGGGGATGGTCTAGACTAAAAGAAGCTAGAATTCAGCAGGAACTGACCTCAGTTTGTGGATTTTAACCAAAGAGAACAGCCCTATGACTCATGGTTACATCACCAGAGTGAGACATAAGGGCTACATGGAAGCTTGTTTGGAATCTGGTGCAGTTTTGTTGGATAGACTAGGTATGTACATCTTTGTATTTCAAGAGTTTAATGTGTTTTAAAGTATAGGTTGTTAGAAACATCCCTCTTATGTGTGTGTTTTTCAAATCTACTATGCGATATTTTATGGATTTTTTCATATTTCTAGTCTATATACTTCCCCCCTCACTCATACTCTTCCCCTTTAATTGATGCCTTATTTCCATTCACTAGTTAAACAAACCATATTTTTTCCAACCAACCAGAACTTTCATACTTATGTTTGCAAATATTGCAGGGAGACAAGTCAGGAGCACAATTTCTTCTCCTGTAGTTAACACTGAGACTTTTGTCAAACCACCATAGTAATTACCGAAGTTAACTTTACTCCTGAACATATGCAAGTGAAGACAACCTACATGAGGAATTCACATAAAATCAAACAAAAACAGAAAGAAAAGAGGAAAATTTATAAATAACAAATCAAATAGAGTACAACTAAGACATACAAACAAAAAGCATAAGATAATACTTCATATGAAGACTCCACAAGCTAACACAAGAAAACAGAGATTATGAGAAAACTAAACTTGCAGGAAATAGTATCAGAGTACTTAACTAGGTTTTCTTTGTTGGCTAAAAATTTCACACATATATCCAATGCATTTTTGGCCATATACATCCCCTCTTTCATTCCTCTTGCTTTTCTTTCTCATCCCCACATATTTCCTATCTCCCTCTAGACTTAAAAAATAATCCACTAGATAAAACTAGTGCTGCCTATTCAAGTATATGTTTGGAGTCATCTACTTTGGAATGAGCAACTTCACAATTCCTCTTATACCTCCAAGAAAAATGACTCTTCCTCCATTAACATCTACTAATGACTTTAACTTATAAGTAATAGGTAGGGCATCAGGATCATGTCTTCATTCTATGCTTCTTATTGTGATGACCTTATGTTGGAATAGCCATGTCTTGGGTGAACAGCATGCCATGTCCAGAGGTGAGTCTTTACAGAATTCCTCTCCATATTCCAGCTCCTCAGAGCACTGTTTTTTGTTTGTTTGTTTGTTTCTTGTTTTTGTGCTGAGATCAAATAGAAGACCCGACTAAGCAGAGTAGGAACTAATCTAAGATGTGGAAAAGAAATGTATGACGTCAATTACTAACTACACATTAGATAAAAGACAGCATCTTCAACAGAGTTCTAGAAAAACTGGATATCTACATATAGAAGAATGAAACTAGATCTTCATCTCTTACCCTGAAGCCAAATCTACTTCAATGCATCAAGGACTTCAATGGAAGTTCTAAAACTCTCAAACTGCTGGAGAAAAAAGTAGGGAGTATGCCTTAAGATGTAAGTAAGGATTTTTTTACTAGGATCTCTCAGAAAATAAGGCAATCAACTGTCAAAGGGAACCACATGAAATAAAAAACCAAACTTTTATATGGCACTCTTTCTATTTTTATTTAATGTGGGGCTTATGTTAGTTTTTATTTTATTTTATCTTTTTTTGCCTACTTGAGACAGGCAGAATCATCTATTAAGAGGGAACTCAATTAAGATAATATTTCCATTAAATTGGCCTGCAGGCAGGTATGTCAGCATTTTCTTGATTAATGATTGATATAGGAGGGCCAAGGCCACTGTGGGTGGTGCTACTGCTGGGCAAGCATTCCTGGGTTATATGAAAAAAACAAGGTGAATGAGTCATGAGGAAAAGCCTAGTGAGTAGAATTCCTCCATGGTCTCCATCTTCAGTTTCTGTCTCCAGGGTCCTGCTTGACTTCCCTCAATGATGGATTGTGATGGAGAAATTAACCCCTTTCTTCACTTTCATTCATAGTGTTTATCACAGTAATAGAGAAACAAAATAAAACAGTAATTAAGATCTTTATTAGACCAATAAAACTAGAGAGATATATACGTGAAATAACAATTACAATAGCATATAATAATTTCTACAGTATTATATGTATTACTATATACATGGAATAGCAATGTATCATATACTCAGATGACAAGATACTATGTTTGAAAGATCCCACACAGTCTTGTATATTTAATAAGCATTTTCAGTAAAGTATAAGCCTACAAAACCAACTTTTAAACACACCAGCAATGAGCTTTCTGAGAAAGAAATCAGGAAAAAAATATTCTACTCATGATTCTTTAAGACTATCGTGGAGTAAACCTAACTAAGGTGGTGAAAATATTCACAAGAAAAACACCAAAACACTGAAGAAAGAAATACATTAAGACAATAAACAATGGAAAGACATTCTATTATCCTATATTGGCAGAATGTTTTGAAACTGACTATACTGAAGACTGGATGCAGGAGGCATGTTGTGGGTGGGACAGAGGGAGAGAGTAGTGAAAGAGATGTGTTGATAGGGGGCACCAGGGAAAACCCCAAGAACTGACAAGGAAATTAACAGCTAAGACTCCTAGCAATAGTAGAGAGGGTGCCTGAGCTGGCTATCTACTGTAATCAGATTGGTGACAACCCTAGTTGTCATCAGAGATATTCTATCCAGTAACTGATGGAAGCAGATGCAGAAATGCACAGCCACACACTGGGCTGAGTTCTGGGGTCTTGTTAAAGAAAGGGAGGAAGGATTGGACGATGGAGGGAGGTCATGACGGGGAACCCACAGAGACAGCTGACCTGAACTAGTGGGAGCTCATGGACTCTGGACCAACTGCTAGGGAGTCTCCATGGGGCCATCCTTGGCCCTCTGCATGTGTGTGGCAGTTGTATAGCTTGGTCTCTTTGTGAAGCTCTTAGAAATGAGCAAGGACCTGTCCCTGCTGTTTAGCTGGCTTTTGGGAACTTGTTCCCCATGCTGGATTACCTTGTCTGGCAGGCAAGGGGAGGAGTTTGGTCATGCCTCAATTTGATGTGCCATGCTTTGTTCAAACCCATGCGAAGTTTGCCCCTTTCTGAATGGAGATAGAGGAGGAGTGAGAAGGAGGTGGGTAGCTGAGAATAGGGGTATGGAGTGTGTGTGGGTGGGGTGAGGTGGAGGAGAGGAGGGGAGAATTATGCTCAATATGTAAAATAAATGAAAAAATGTTATTTAAATAAAAATTTTAAACATTTAAAAATTTAAAAATTAAAAAAATCTTCAAAAAAGAAATCAATCTATTTATTCAACCTGATCCATATCAAAATTTCAAAGACATTCATCACAAGACTAAAAAAAATCTTAAAATTCACATGCAGCATTAAAAGATCACAGAAAGTTCCAAAACTATAAGCAGATAGAACACAGTTAGAAACATTCTATTGCCTTACCTCAGACTAAAT